CTTTGGAGTCCATTGCACCAATCAACTGTCCAACTGAGAGAGAGAAGTATCTTTTTTAGAGTATCTTCATTTCCCCTAGACCTGTTACAAAAGGTCTCACCAGACCAACCTCTCAGGGATAGAGAGTGTGGTGATTTGAATATGCTTGGCCCAGAGAGTGCCACTATTAGGAGGCGTGGTCTTGTCAGAGCAATCTTGCTACTGTGGGAGAGGGCTTTGAGACCCTCCCCCTAGCCACATGGGAGCCAGTCTTCTCCTGTTTGCCTTGGAACAACATGTAGAACTCTCAGCTCCTCCAGCACCATGCTTGCCTAGATGCTGCCATGTTCCCACATTGGTTATAATGGACTGAACCTCTGAACCTGTAAGCCAGCCCCAATTAAATGTTGCCCTTATAAGAGTTGCCTTGGTCATGGTGTCTGTTCACAGCAGTAAAACCCTAACCAAGACAGTGAGTAACCTGGTCTGTCTGATTCTGGAGTCTGACTCCAAAGTTGTCCCCAGAAAGTCATTAAAGGTCAGTTCTGGTCTCCAACCCTCATTACACAGCCCCAACTTCTCTCCAGGCCCAGGATCCAGTGATATCAGATTAGGGGGTTGGAGGGGGGAAGGAAGCAACAACCCAGCATCTGTGGTCATGGCAGGGTGCCAAGGTCCTATTGCTGGCTCTGGATTCCCATCTGGGCCTCAACATTTCTATCCATAGAGCCCAGGCTGTCTATAACTGAGTTGAACAGTGGTACAGTGATTTCCCAATCTCCTGTTCCTGTCATCTTGAGTGTATCTAGAGCCTCCCCCCTTGGCTTGGGTGGTCTTCAGGAAGAGGGTTCTGGCCCCAGTTTCAGAATTTAGAGTTGGGAAAGAGACCAAGAGTATGAGGAGATCGAGCCAGCCATAGAAGCTGCTAATCTCCATTCCTTCCCCCCAGCTCCACCCCAGGGGACCACACTGCCGCCTCCGCTGAAAGCAATTTGTCATGCCCTGAATTAAGTGATTCCAACAAGGGCTTAATTTCAGTTTAATGGCTCTGTTTTTATGTGTAATTAAATACCATTGCATGGTGAAAATATGTTGTTTGCACTTTAGAGACTGTGTAAGGGCCTGGGAAGCCAGTCCCTAGGAGTTTCGACTCACAGGCTCCATCAGCCTGGCTGGGATTGTCGACATGGGGGGGTTGGGAGGTGACCTCAAGACCCGAGGAAAGAAAAAAAGGGGAGTGGTGGTCTTTCTGGCGCCTGCCACCCAGGGGCTTATGTTTCTAATTATCTGCATACCCACCTCTTCTACCCTCTGACCTCAACCCTCCTCACCCCCTGGGGCCTCAGACATAAAATGGGCAGGATCTAATTAGATCCCTGGCCAAGGACTGAGGTGCTCTCTGTCCCCCACAATGTGTGTGCCCAAAGGCTGGTTCCTTTGCCTTCCCTCCCTTCCTCCTCCTGTGCTTACAACTGCCCCTCCCCTGTCACCTCCCTGTGAGGACCCAGCCTCTCAGCTGTTGCTGGCTTCCCAATGCCTTCAATTTGTACCCCTATTCTCTCCTAGACCAGAGGTGGCGCTATCATAAAGGCCTGAAACGGTGGGAATTTCTTTCGCTAGGAATTTTTTGGGAGGTCATTTGCCAAAGAACCACATGCCTTCCAGGAAGGGGAACTTTGGAGGTGCCCAAGTCCTTGCACAGGTCATGACATTCCTGGAGCAGCTTGGTGGCAGAAGGCCAAAGGGCTGGAATGATAGGCTTTTTCTGGAAGGAGCTAGGGAACAGGAGAAGCTAAACTTCAGGACTTTTCTAAGTGATAGGACAGAAAGCTGACCCACCCTCAGCACATCAGGGTTTGATCTCCACTGAGTGATAGGAATGGAAACTAAATGCCAGCATGTGAATGAGCCAAGAGACCCCAACTGCCATTCCCAGCCCCATCTGCACCCCAGTAGAAGGAAAGAACTCTTTTGCATATATTTTTATGTGTAAGCAAGAAACAGAGCTTGAGACTGTAATGTGTGAGGGTGCACATGTCACTGCATGCCTGTGGAGATCAGAAGACATTTGCAGGAGTTGATTCTCTCCCTCTGCCACGTGGGTCTTCAGGCTTGGTGGCAAGTGCCTTTACCCACTGAGCCACCTTGCTAGTCCAGAAAGAACAAGTTTCTTGTGGTGGCCGAGCAGAGCAGACAGGACCTCAGTTCTCAAGGTGCAGTGACCTCACAAAGACATACAAGTCTGGTCCTTGCCTTTTCCCTCCTAAGCTGCCAGTCCTGGGACTGCAGCGACATTCAAGGACATGTGAAGGCCAGGGCAGGAGGGCATCTCTGACTCTGGGAATGTCATGCAAACACAGCATTGCTTTTATTTTCTTTGCCATAAGACAACCTACACAGGAGAGGAAGTGTGTTTGTGTGAAATGTGAAGAAACCCCTCCGCAGCACACAGCCTCTGTTACCTGACGATAGACAGCTCTCTCCAAGGCCTACAGCTGATTCCCGAGATTAAAGATCCACACATGCATTGCCAGGAGAGAAACACATACTCTGTAGAGTATCTCTCCTGTTACACACACACACACACACACACACAGAGAGAGAGAGAGAGAGAGAGAGAGAGAGAGAGAGAGAGAGAGAGA